GCTTGCTGACATAACCCGACAGCAAATTGGTGGCGGAAACCGAACAAAGCTTGCTGACATGACTGGCATCAGATTATCGGCACGAACTAAGCAAGATCTGGCGTGCGCAATCTAACGGCACATTGGCAGCAAAAAACAAGCAGAATATTACAAAGTATTACAAAATTCTATTATTTGAAATAATATAGTTCAATCGCTTACTGCTATGCGGCGTGTTATTCATTATCTATACTCGTATTCAAGTTTTTGTCATGACTAATAATATTGTAATATATCTATCTCTATCAGTTCAATTTTTGACACGATGCCTATACTGGATAATTCAAATATTGAACTGATTTTTGGAAAATCGGGCAAATAATTGTTCGATTTTTACTTATTCGGACAATCCCTGTCCAAAAAAATCTTTAATTTTATAAATTAAATTATTTAAATTTACCTATATGTTTTAACACATTAATATGTGTTATTATACATTAATACTGTAACTGATTTAATTTTTGTCGTCGAAAATTGCTGTAGATCTGCTGAGCATTTGGCGCAAATCTGTTGTCGGTCTGCGGTTAACAAACCTGCTCTCGATTTGTTGCGTCAATCTGTCGTCGCACTGTTAGTGACAGATCTGCTCTGGTGTTGTACCCAATTTGACATCAGGATGTGATTTCAACTTTTGGTTGCAGTTGGGGCGCATTCGAAGACACAGTAGGCCCTGAATTTGGCAGCCTCGTTCGACAGGGAATTGTTTGCTGTTTGTTAACAATCCGCAAGCAAATGGTTAGCTGGATAAGGTATGGTAAAATAAGAAACTTTCTCAGGTTCTTCTCTATGTTTATCGTTGTCAAAATTAGAGTTAATATTGTGAAAAAGAGTTTTAAGGCGTTCACGTAAGATACCGAAAACAAAATTAAGGATAATCATTATCCATCAAAATCCCAACGACTAATCCAAAGTTTTTTCGGTGGAACATGGGATGTGACAACCGAATCACTCTGTCAATTAAACCGATGACAGTGCCTCTCTTTTGACAAAGAGAGTGACTCGACATGAAATGTAAATATCTCCCTGAAAAGGTAGGTTTGTGGTACCAATCAAAAGTCAAATGATTATTGTTTAGAATCATGGTAATATCTAAAAAATTAAGTCTATTTTCCTCTCTAATCTCAATTGTGAATTATAAACGTGGGTGGAATATGTTAAAAATGTCTAGAGTATGATTGAGAAGGATAGAGGTGGCCGCCAATACAATGTCATTCACATATCTAACAAAAAATGGGGAAGTGAATTTCAAGGACTCGAGAGCTCTAGTTTCTAGATCTTGAAGGACTATGTCCACGATAATGGGAGACAATGGAGAATCCATAGGAATATCGAATGTTTGTTGGTAAATTACTCCATTAAAAGTGAAAAAAGTTGAATCTAATATCAGTCTGACAGCAGTAATGAATTGAAAGTATGATATATTACAATTAGTAGGGATGTAATTCCATCTAGCAGAGATAATACCAATCGCCATTTCAATAGAAATATTGGTGAACAAGGAAATGACGTCTAAGGAAATGAGAAGAAAATTATTGTTGATGTTTATATCAGAAAGTTCTTTCACCAGTTCTAAATTATTGTTGATGTGACTATGTGCAATGGGAAAGCTTTTAAGCATTATGCGATTATGATACCGCACTTGGCTCGTTTTGCCATTTTATGTTGACATTATTAAATTAAATATAATTCTAAATTAAATTTAGATCTAAATTAAATTTATTGTTTGTTGGTTTTAATATATACTTTAAAAGTTAGCAGCGTCAAGTTTTTTAATTAAAATTTTTTAATATTTTTTTATTTATATTAAACTTATTTTGAAAATCAGGTTTCTGTTAATAAAAATTAAATGCATTTTAATTTTATGGAGAGAATCTGTCTATAACATTTCTATAGATACAAATTTGATTTTATGACAAATACTATTTCAAATTACAAATCCTCACAAACTGAATGGCTTTTAAGTACTTGGCTATTT